TATTGATACAGAAGGAACCTTCAGACCTGAACGTCTCCTAGCGGTGGCAGATAAGTTTGGTCTCAATGGTGCAGATGTCTTAGACAATGTTGCATATGCACGAGCGTACAACTCAGACCACCAGACACAATTGCTGATACAAGCTGCAGCTATGATGGCGGAATCCAGGTAGTTTTGGCCTATTTGTTTGTTTGTTTATATATTCACGTGTCATATAATCCATTAAAAGTGGATTCCACACATATGATGATGATAAGATAGTATTTTTTGTTCAAAATATATAGAGGGACATGATGGTCTGGTATTTGTAGCCAAACATGTACTCTGCTCTTATATTGGAGTCACCAAGGTCATTTTATTTTTCAGATATGCTCTCTGCATTGTTGACAGTGCAATGGCTCTCTATCGAACAGACTATGCAGGCAGAGGGGAGCTTTCTGCAAGACAAATTCATTTAGCTAGATTTTTACGAATGCTTCTCAGACTTGCTGATGAGGTAAGCCAAATGTTGTAGAGGGAACGGTTGTCTTATTTATATTTATGCATATATAAAATCATTATTGATAGAATTAATAACAGAATGTAATATCAAAAGTTCATACACCAATATTCCCAGTTACAAATTAATTCTGATTTTGCTTGAAGTTTGGTGTGGCAGTAGTGATAACGAACCAAGTGGTGGCCCAGGTGGATGGAGCAGCCATGTTTGCCGCTGACCCCAAGAAACCCATCGGAGGCAATATCATGGCCCATGCATCAACCACAAGGTAATTTATGCAAATGTTTGATTGGTGTATGGAATGTTCCCCATTTCTGGTAAATCAAAGGCTTAACTGGAGAAAGTGAAAAGGGGTGAAGAATTATATTTGCTTTTGTTCAAAGGAGGAAAAAGTTCTGTAGTTAGGACTTTTCTCATTTATTTTAGTAGGTGCAAGAAAACCTTTTAGAGAAAATTCTCTTCAGTATAAATAGTCTTTAATGATAAAATATAAGCAACTATTGATTGTTTCCTATAAGACTAACTCTGTTCTTGTAAAGAACATAATCCCTTTTAGAGATTTCTTTTCACAAGAAAATTCTTTTTATTTCAGATTATACCTTAGAAAAGGCAGAGGAGAAACTAGAATATGCAAGATATATGATTCTCCTTGTCTGCCAGAAGCCGAAGCCATGTTTGGAATATACGCAGATGGTATAGGGGATGCTAAAGACTGAAGCTACATCCTGAACTTCGTTAAAGATTTTATAACGTTATCTATATTTGTATGCACACCAACTAGAGACAGAAATATTATAATGTTACCTAGTTTTGTGTGTATACAAGCAACAAACAAAAATTTTATAATGTTAGCTAGATTTTTATATATGCAAACTGCAGACTCTTGTTTAGTGGACCACTGTATACAATGCATTTACTGTCATTGAGCTGATCTTAGAGAGGAGAGCATGTAACCAAATGCAAAGATGCCAGTGTCTAAGAGTCTTGGCCCCCTGTAGGTAATCTCATTTTCTTATGACTTAGTAAAGAATATATATTTACATATATTGGATACCACTGATCACTAAGGTGATAAATAATTTGTCTCTTCAGTTTTTTATATTTTGCTTGGCCTCAAAATTCAGTGCATTTTCATAGCTGTTTTTGAAGATCAGTAAGAAAGGCTAATCTGCATAAGCAGTTCCAGATAATATGATTTATCTGGAAAAAAAATTATGCAGTAAATATGAAGTGAGTTTAAATATTTTGCAATTTTGTACACCATCAACTTCCGTATAATACAAAATGCAGGCAAGTTTTCTTTTACAAAACAAAGGATATTAGATTCTTTATTGTCTCCTAATTGTAATTTTATTTACTTTGAAACTACAGATTATAAACATCAGTAAAAAAAAGGCATTCATAGTACTTATTTCTTATATGTATTGATATTAAAGAAGTCAAATGAATAATTAATTATTTAAGCATTTATTTGATTTACACCTAGATTGCACTGAAAGCATTTTTTATGAAATAAAGTTCAACTATACTAGAAATATATGATTAAATAATCAATACTTATGCTGTTGACAGTGAAATACCGGGGAGAAAAACAAAATAAAAGGATATTATAATTAAAATCTGTTTCATGTGCTGTTTGTGTAAGTTTTTTGCCTTTTATTATTTCTTTCCCTGGCAGAAAATTAATGAAGACACCAAGGCAAGATACTTTTATTATTTATTTTCAGTCCTCTCCTCTTGACTCACACTGCTAGGAAAGTTACACAAGTGCCTTACAATATTTTAACCAAACAAAGATATGAATATATATATTGATAAGTGGTAGGTGATGCTGGTATGAATTTATATTAAAATATTTTGTATAAACCTTAAATATTTAAATATTGATTTATTATTACCCTTTTGGTAAAATTGAAATCCTGCAAAAGTATTATCTCAGTTCTGAAAATGACCCTTTATGCTACCATACTGTCCTATGGTGCTGTATGTCCTTTGGCCAATAGCATTTGTTTGTTTTAATCCCCCTTCTTTACTCTTGTTGTTATTATACTTCCTTATAGTGCTAAAAGGCCTTTGAACAAAGGATTGTATCCAGGTTGTATTTCTATTAGTAGCTATATGTTGTTTCTCTCTAGTTATTATTGCTTTATACTTATTGGTCTTACTGAATACACCACTTCCAAATGTGAATTTTAAGTTGATATTGGTCAGTATGGAAATATCCCCCAACATATTATCTCGCCTTCAGTACCAATCGAAAAAAAAAAAGATTAAAATGCAAATTCTTTAAATGACTCTTCTTCTTTCCCTCCCTTTTCTAACCTTCAGTCCATAGTACTTCGTTTGATTTTGATGATTAAAAACTAGTAATATTTTGACAAAAATGTAGCAGCCATGTTAATAAAGCTAAAATAATGCTTTTGTTATATATTCATTTATTGAAATGTTCTGCCGAGTCAATATCTAAGGTCATTAGGGCTTATCCAAAATATAGAAAAAGGTGAGGCTAAGGGGCACAGCCCCCCCAGGTAAGAAAAGCTCATAACAGCATTATGACAAAGTATTGTGGCAAAAAATGTAAAAAAATTATACAACAGTTAGGACAAAATATGTTAGACAAGGGCTTTAGAGTGCCTTTTAGTAGGTTACTTTGGTAGAAAAAATGGTAAAGAGGGAACAGCCATTCAGAACTGACAGAAAGCCAGCTTTTCATCATTTCTGCACAGCTTTCACACTTTAGCATGTGGACAGAAGAGAAGGAAAAAGAAAGGTAAAAAAAATATCATGCAAAATTAGTTGAGGTGTGGGCTGATGTCTAAGGCCAAAGTGATCCTTATATTGGGCCTTGGTCCGGGTCTCCTATGCCCCCATGACGACGAGCATGGGATTGGGGGGAAAGTTCTTGATAATATGTAAATGCTTTTGACCTTGTAATAAGCGGTATTATATGAAAATAGATGTCAGATTAACCAGACTCCCAAAAGTATGTGCTCATGCACTCTGAATGTTTACAAAGATGGCTTTGCATATGCTTAGTCACCTCTGAATCAACTCGCCAATTGCCCCATTCTGTGAATATTCAGAAAGAAAAACTTCAAATTTTATTACCACTTTGGTAATCATTCTGCAATAATAGCTAATAACAAAACTGCATACATTTTCACACAAAAAAAATTAAAAGTTTAGAAACTGACCTTGATGAATAATTACTTGTGAAGCCAAGTGTGTAAACGGAACTGCAGTAGACAGTGGAGCAATGGTTTAAGGGACTAATTTCTAAACAGCAGCCCCGTAAAAAGAGTTTATTTAGATGGTAGGACCTTTGCTTATCTGTTTTTGATGTATTATAGGCCTTGTGTGAAAACACACTGTAATGTAAAAGGTCTTGCTATGGAATTAGGACAAAGCTTAGTTGTCTTAAAATATTTTGAGAATAAATAAGCCCTACGTTAAAGTGAATTGAGCAATGTAACAATACAGTACCTGAAACATTCCAGTCTAAGACTGGCTTTTATCAAGATGAAACATTTCTAGTGACTAATCATTCCCTAACAGAACAATATATTTTGCAAATTGAGGAAGTCTTTCCATTAAGGCCACATGCAGGAGTAGCCTTTTCTCATTATTGGAATTTTTATGATGAAACTAAGAAATACCACATGATAACATTTTTGCTTAATACAATCTGAGAATAAAATAATGATATGATTATCTTTATGCACTGTGAGACAACCTTTGCTAATATAATGAAAGTAAATTATTAGAAAATTAATACCTTCACCAAATATTTCATGGCTCATCTCTCAAACTCACTATAAGCTTGTGCTCTTGGGTAATAATGTAAACACAAACCATGAGGTAAAAATAAAAAAACACATTTTACTAACTCTTTTTTTATTCACATTGATGCAAGAATTCCGAGGTTTACAAGGACATAAGTAACCTGATTCAATGCACCGATTTCTTTTAAGGTTTCATGTTTGTTTGTTTTTAAATCAAATGTTCTGTGACTACAAACTTAACACACAGGAATGTTTTCAGAGTTAAAGGTGAACTGGATGACATGAACTAGTTTCTGCACCTTTCAACAATGTCAATATATATCATCAAACTAACATTTGTGTAATCAAGTCACAGTATACAACTACATTCATTACAATCATCCATAAATGCACACATACACATACTGAGGTTTTTCTTTTGCATTACATTACATTCCCTACCCCCCTAAAAATATCTATATTCATTCCTCATATATATAGTACATTATATGACATTAAAACATTTATTCTCACACAAAGAGTATAAAATTGTGCCACTTAGAAATGTTCTATCCTAATTTGGTATTTTCATTTTGATTAAAAAATGCAATCAATGCTATTCTTATTGCACAAAGCTCTCTTCACTACTTCTATTGCACAAGTATTTCTTTTAAGAATAAGAACATTAAATGAAATCAATAAAACAAATATCTAAAGATCACACTCTAAATGGCACATCAGGAGGATGACCCAAACAGCCGCCAAACCACCACATAGTCTACTTTACTACTAGTTTTTCCTGCAGGCAAAAACAGGCATCCAGCTCGAGTCCCCACAGTGTGTGGTTTCGACTTGAACCTTCATAATCAGGAGAGACAAACAGTAATGGAAGACTCGGGTGATTTTCAAGCCATTCGGATACAATTGCATGTGAAGGTCCAGGCAGCACAGGCAAACTGCTGTCCTTCATTCTATAGCTTTATAATGTCTTCATCTCGTAAGGTACATGTATTGACAGGAAGCTACAACCTCTGTGGCCTAAAGCCCCAGCCTTGGATACAAAAAAAAGGGGGACATGTTACAACACAAGTCTTTTGGTATTACTGTTCATGTGACTAATATACTGAGACTAAGACATCCAAGGCTTTTGGTGTACATCCCTCTCCAATTCTTAGAACCTGTAAAACAAAGATAATTATAAACAAATCTACCTCTCTATAGTATGCATATTCTGTTATCAAAACTGCAATCAGTATCTACATGAATATCACTTTAAATTCCATTATAGAGAATCATCATTCACCTGCCATAGAGTTAGATGTTATCACTCCACGAATTTGAATTCTGGTTGAATCTCACATGGTTATCGATAATCTGGAAGAGTTCTGGAGGCTGAGGTATTCGGCCTGTCTCTAACTTGGACCAAACAGGAACATCTGAAAATACAGTGAGGAAATTGTAAAGCGACAATATATTACCTCCACAATCCAAAATAAAATGCTAATTAGAATGAATAAAAATGAACCAAATAAGCAATATTGCATTATGAATAATAAGCTAATATTCACTTTCAATACTGAAACAATAGGATGACAATAATATTACAAGCAAAGCATAAGTGAGAAAGATGAAGTGGTGAAGAGAGGAGGGAGCGGGAAGGATAGAGGGAAAAACCTGTGTATATTTTCATTAATGTTATCTAACCCACTATCTAAAGTGTTTATTTTTCATCTTGCCTCTGATTAATCTGCTAACATGACAACCAATAACAGGTATTATAGCCAAGGTCAGAGGCACCACCATTTAGAATGAGGCATATAAAGTTCTGTTAAATCATTTATGCACACTCACACTAATGCTCCCCAAGGCTTGCAGAAGCACATACACTTAGATGTACATTACACATATACATGCATGGATACACACATACACCCACCTACTCATATATTACACTACATACATGCATATATATACCCCCCTCACATGTACAAATATCACTAGCTATTTCTAACCTAAATCTGTTCAATCCAACAAAAAGCAAAGTCACTCACCATTAAAGGATATTTCAAAAGCGCCTGTGGAGATGAGCTGCCCTTCGATGGCGTTGCAAAGGAAGAACACCATCATACAGCCATAGATTTTATTGTTGAGGAACCATGTCCACCAGGATGGGATTTCTAGCCCAAGCCACTCCCAAATATTGATGTTGGCAATAATCATCACCAACACGATCAGTTTGGCACCACCCTGGGAGTAAAGAAAGATATCTAGGGTGAATAGCTTTGGTAAGATAAGTGATATTTAGGTTAATGGCTAAACAAATAAATATGCAAGACATTAAAGGTCATATTACACTATGGTAAAGTATTGTGGCAAAGAGGGTAAAAATGAGTTAACAATTTGGAAAACATATGTTAGGTTATTGAGCACCTAGTGGAATAGCGGCACGGTAGTGAAAATTCGAGTAGAAGGGACAAAGTAAAGTGGATATTTGTATAAGAGGGGTTTTGGGTTGTAGGGCAATTGGAATGAATAATGTAACATCTGCTGGCTGGGGAAGCAAACATGTACATGTTTAAGGAAAACTAGCTAAAGAGCCTTATGAAACAATGAACACTTTAATACGGCAGAGGAGGAGAAAGGAGAGCGGGATAATGACAATTACCTTGAATGTAGAGGGAAGAATCGGAACTAAAGGGATTGGGAGAGTGGATAAGGAAATGGAGCATTTTCTTGTGCCATGAGAAAACCTATGGCAGTGCTTCCTGTCTTGTCATGTAGAGTGAGGCCTAGTTTGAATCTGAGAATTGCTACCTCAGATTTGAGTTTATAGGCAGGGAAGTTCTTATACAATACATTATGGGAGCCACCACATCCTGCGACATGTTTACATGCACTGAGCAGAGCTATTTGAATGGTCATGACCAGGCTGGGTAGGTAGAGGGCAGCAAGCTCTAGAGCGCCAGTGTTTGCTGGGTGGCCAAAACACCAACTTTTCAAACATTGAAGAGAAAGAGGTCGATATGGTCAGAGAGGACAGGACACGCACCAATATCAATTTCATGGGGGAAGTCATGTCTATGGAAGCTATTCTTAGCAATATTGGTATAGGACTTATGTTGGCCTCTGGGAGAAATAGTGCAGCACTGTACTGCTATTGTATCATAGTCAACAAGGCAGGCATTTTCAGTTTAACCAGTTCTTATTATAGATAGGACAATTAGTCACAGAGAGGGTCAG